ACCCTTTTTAAAAAATACAATGGAAGTAAAGGAAAAATGGAGACAGTAATTAACGCCTAGAATTTCTTCATTAACACCACTGGTCAAAATGGAGAAATTTCCAAAAATTAAAATCAAAGGATTAGATTAATAAACTAAAAAATACTCAAATATATAAATGGGAAGACTGGAAAAATAAGGTAAAAAATACAACACAATTAAGGAATGTATTGGCAGAAGCCAAATTAAATTGGTTAAATTTAATACAATTAGAGAAATGGATAAAGATGGAGGGAAAATTTAAACAGGAAGAAAGACAACTAACAAAATTTGAAATGATTGTGAAAGAATGTGAGATTAAGGAAGAATATACAGGTAAAGGAAGAATTGCCAAAATTTACAAAATATTAATAGAATTAGGGCATGGGTCCTCAAACTACGGCCCGGATCTGGCCTGCCATGCCCGCCTCAGAGGTTTTCAGTGCGCCCCGCAAGTGCGTGCACCTGCTGCCCGCCTCGCCCCCCGCACGGGGAAGCAGCGCCTTGCTCGCACAGAGATCGTTTTAGACCCGCTAGGAGAAAATTATCTCCAAGTGAGCAAGCTGCTGCATTGCCTGCCCGCCTCTGCATTGCGGTGCGTGCCCGCCCTCGCCTCGCCTCGCCTCCCCTCACTGTGCCTGCCTGCCCACCCGCCCGTCCTCCCCGAGCCTGCATGCCCTGCCCTCCCTCAGCCCGTGCGCACCCTGCCCCCACGCCAGCCCGCACACCCCGCCGGCACCACCTTTCTGGCCCGTGCTCAACACAGGCACCTTTCAACTGGCCCCCTGGTGAAAAGTTTGAGGATCCCTGAATTAGGAGAACAGACAAAAAATTTGAGATCAATTTGGGATGTTGGTGAAATAAAAGATAAGGATGGGAAGAATATTTGGAATAGAAGAGTATATAAGAAAATGTCAGTTAGAATGAAAGAAATGGATATAAAGTGATATGGAGATGGTATTTAACACCAGTCAAGTTAAAACAAATTGATGATGAATATTCTAATATTTGTTGGAGATGTGGAAAAGAGATTGGAACTTACAAACATATGTGGTGGGATTGTTATAATATACAAAAGACATGGATTGTGGTGATATTAGAGAAATTCTAGCTATAAATCTTGAAATGTCACCAAGAATTGCGTTATCGCTGCTGATTGAAAAGCAAGATGTAAATGAAGTTAAGAAAGAATTGATCCTAAATCTGATGGCAGCCAGGTTAGTAATGGTTAAATATTGGTAACAGAACTGGGTTATACAAAGGAATGAAATATGAAATATTCAATGGTATAATGAAATATGGAATATGATTGTTAATGATAAATTGACAACAGAAATAAAAATTTAAAAAGATAATAAAAGTAAATAAATACAGGTATAACTAAAGTATACTCTATATTGTTAAATGAAATGAAATGGAGATATAAGCTGGTCTCCTGGGGAATCGGTGTACAATGTTTTTTTTGTGTTGTGTGTTTTTTTTTACTTATCAGTTGGGTTGTAGATGCTAATATTATTGATAAATGTTGATATGTATTGTATCTCATCTGTTTGTATTTATGTTCTGTTAAAAAAAATAAAGGTGGCGGGGGGAGAAACAGAGAAGAGATAGCTTAGTATTCGGGCTTAGCTATTCCCTTTTTCCTCAGCTTTATCCACCAACCAGCAGACCTTCTCCTCCAGATAGCCTTATTCCAAGGTTTGGCATGTCATGCCGTTCACACTCCCACCCCTGTGCTTGAATTGCACACCACATTCTGTGCTCACTGAGCGTACTTACTCCTCAGTCCTCATCAGGCCATTTCAGGGGACTGTGCATGCATGCATGCAAGCAAGTCCTTTATTTTTCTTCTGCATCTGCAAAGTGCAATGTTGTTTGCCATTTTAGCTACATAAGCAGTGGCATCTGCTCAGTTATCTGAAGGAGAAGAAACAATATCACCAATTCAGGTTAATTCATTTTCAGTGGCAAACGTACCAAGGGCAAGGTTGATTATGCTTATACATAATGAAAAAGTACTGATCTGACCCCTGAGCACGACAGCTAGCATACAGGAAGACATTAAAACCACAATCTATCTTTTTCAGCCTATTTTACTCCTGTATGTGTTATCTATAATTCTGTTCCATTTCCTCATTAATCTACATTTTTTCTCCATATCCCCTCAGAATATGTATTTAAAAGTAGATATATGTTCTACTGTGTTTGTAAATATGTATTTCTGCTCAAAATGCTGGTATTGAGCGGCTAAAAACATGGAGAACATTTGGAGACGCTGGATGTCTAAGCTCTGTTCTGAAGGGTCCTTTGAGCTCCACTTCAAAGGTTGACCCATCTCATTCCTATTTTTGATGATGGTCCATTTTTCTTTTCATTCAAATGGAAGAAGTACACATTTTAGAACAGTTTTTGAAAGCGTGAGCCCTATTGTGCACTCCCCACAACGCTAAATTTAGCTTTAAGATGCTAATATTTTGCAGGAGTGCACATTTTGGAACACAAATTTCAGAACATTTGACCTTTGTCTCTCACTTTTCAAAACTACTTTAATCTGAGTTTGTGTTTCACAGTATGAACAAGGTAAATTTGAGTAAAGGATTAAGCAAACTTAAATTCTCTTACATCTCTACCTGTATTTTAGTCAAGAGGTGCAGATGAGTCACTTTGTAAAGGAATTCATAATTCCTCCAGGATCCCTAGGTGTGACTGTCACTTTTGAAACTAGATCAAGCAGTATCAAATGAATTTTTTTCTCCTACTTCCCGTCCCTTTTTTCACCAAATATCAGTTCATTTAAATCACTGTATTTCTGTGGAGTTCGTCATCTTTTTCAGCAAAAGGTAACTTTTTTTTTAATAAAGATTTTATTAAGATTTTAAACAAAAACTAAAAATGTCAGTCATCAAATACATTGGACGTACTGGGTCAGCCCCCTACTACATATCTTTTTAACATTCTATAGTCATATTCAAATTGATTTATAAAAATTTAAAAACGTCTTTAAATCTAAGCCAAGTCCCGTTTCTCCAGCCAATTATAAAAAAGGTCCCAAGTTTGATGGAAGTCAGTATCTTCTTTCTTCTTCAGTGATAGAGTCAATCTGTCCATTTCTGCACAGTCCAGAATCTTTTTTTAAATCAGTTCATCGGTGGGTAATTCCTCCCTCTTCCAGTATTGAGCAAGCGCAATCCTCACCGCTGTGATTAGATGTAACATCAAATACATTTCTTGTTTGCTAATATCTTCTGGTATGATGCCTAACAAGAAAATTTCAGTTTTAAAAGCTAAGGGTTTTTGTAGCATTTCCTCAAGCCATTTATGTATTCTAATCCAATACTTTTTCGCATTTTCACAGGTCCACCACATATGGTAAAAAGTACCCACTTTATGTTTACATTTCCAACATCCATTTGACATATTTGGAAATTTGACATATTTGGAAAAAGTCATCACAGTAGAGAGGAGAACACCACACAATATGAAAAATATCCTGGCAAGTGTCCAGTTAGTCTTGGCAGAAGTCCAAACAGATATCCAAAATGATCGCTCTAAGTTTTAACCTTCTATCACTTAATTCCACAGTGATTATTTATTTTAATTCTTCGACCTTAGAGAAGTTAGAGGAAAAAGCTTTTTCTTCGGCTTGAAGTCGGACAGCAGCCTCAACTTTCTCTCCATATCAGTTGCCGCTTAAAGACTCCATGAGGGAGGATACTCCTCCCTCCATAAGGAGGGCTTTTTTTTTTTTCTTTATGCCAATTAGGAACAGATGCAGCTTTTCCACGGGTAATATTGCGAAAAGAAATAAGAAATAAAAATGCTTACCCAGCAGTACCGATGTTTATCTGGCTAATAGTCCTAAGCTAATTTTTCATCGGATGCCGAGGACTTGAAGGAGCTAGAAAAAGCTCCCATGTTGTCCAGTTGAGAAATGCCTGGATTTCTCCCAGTGGATATGGGGTTGCCGTCCCACACTGACCAGAACAGTGCCCAGGCAATCTATCTTCACCCCAACAGGGCTTAGGTGAGCCTTCCACGACTCACTGCCGAACAATACTGGTGTGATAACAGAAGCTCTGTTAATCACAGTTGTTTCGTCGCGATGCCATCTTGAATCTCTGCAAAAGGTAACATTTGAGGACAAGAAGAAGCTTTTCCTGTGCAATCATGAGTGCTCCTCATTTCATGAAGTGCTCACTGAGGGAAGGGGAGGGGTGGCATCTTGCAGGCATCTTGCTTCTTTAAAATGGCAGGTAGCACTTTTAAAGTGAGCAGATACTTTTGTCCCAGTTTGTGTTCCCAAAAGATTACTGAAATAAATGTCCCTTTTTTGCTGGGATGAAATATTTTACAAAAAAGGGAACAGCTGCTTCATTTCAGTCCTACTTTTAAGTTGATGGCTTTTGATTTGTGGCTTACCCTATCCCAATATCTTAGAGTAGGTAAAAATTAAAGGTAAGACCAAGACAAATTTTCATAGACTTCAGTTGCTGAAACTATTTTTAGCATGAAAAACTTGGTTAACTCAGACACTGCAGCATTGTTTAATTTTTCTAGCCAAAACATCTAAACTGGGGATGGGGGAGAAATTTAGTTAAATTTTAATGTGAACTTGCCTACATTGTTGAATCACCATGTAAACTAAAATGCAGTTATCCTTCAAAATTTGCAGTTGTTATTAGTTTTACAATACTTTTCCAAAATTAAAAGTGCATGAATGTGTATGCTAAAGAAACTAGTGTTCAAATATGCATTATATAAAGAAAATAGATTCAAACATGTCTATATTAGGCCAAAAAAAATCTGTGTTAGCAGAAATGGTTGTGAATTTTTACAGGAATTTAAAAAGCAACCTCAGAGTTCAGGACAAACTGAACTTAAGGAGAGCAACTGAAATTCTCAGATTCATTCATCCACACTTCATACTCTCCAACATAATGCCACCTTTTGGTGATGCTCTTTCTTTGTTATCTATATTTCAGATCAATGCTCACAGGCCTGTACCTGCCTAGCTCTGGTACTATTATCATCAACAGGAGGGACATGGAGACATATCTTGCTGCCATTAGGACAGAGATGGGAGTATGTCCTCAATATGACGTGCTGTTCAATACTTTAACTGTTCAGGAACATCTGCTTCTTTATGGGTCTGTGAAGGCTCCTTCCTGGACAAAGAAACCGTTACATCAGCAAGTCAGTAGGTTAGTGATTGTGAGAAATTTTCTTAGAAAGCAAATGCCATTCCTTCACCCCGTGCTACACAATGCTGTGAGTCTCCTGATTTAATTGGACTCAAATTCCCACCAACTAGTGGTCAGGGATGGTGGATGCTGTAGACCAAGAACATCTGGAGGGCCACAGGAGGAGACAAACTGGGCTATGGTCCTGGAGGTTCAGGTGGCAAGAAGCTTGGTGGAGGCCAGTTGGCTAAGTAACCCAGCTTCAGAGGGGAGAAGGCCAGGTGGCTCTTGAAGGACATCTGATGCTAATCATGAACTACTTACCCAGACAAATACTTGCCTGTATCTTGTTATTTCTAACAATGAGGAAATTCTCTGACACAGAGTGCTGGCAACCCCAGATACCCAGTCTGGCTTGGGCCCTGTGATATGTGAGGAGACAGGGGAGGTTTACAGTTTAGGAGCAGATTTAATGATAATGCTTAGGCTTGGCCCTTTCTCAGAACTGCACACTGGTCTGCACAGGTAGGCCTTTCTTGGCTCCTCTCTCTTTTTTCTCACTCTCTCCATTACCCAAGCAATCATCTTCTGGCTTCTTCTGTCATTGCTTATCATGCAGCAGAGGTAGGCAACTTAGGGCTCTCCACATGTTGTTGGACTGCCAGACCCATTGTCTATCACCATGGCTTATGCCAGTTAAGGAGGATGGGTTGCAGTCTAACAACTTCTGGAATGCCACAAATCATCCACCCCTGTTATACTTAGAAGTCCCTCCTCTTGGAAATCTGCCTGTCTTCTTTGTCTTCTATTATGCTTCCTCTTCTGCATTTGCTATTTGGATTTCATTCTGCCATATTACGTTACTTCTTTGTTCCTGGTCTTTCTGCTGTCTTTGCTCTGTCTATTCCTTAGCTCTACCTTTTCGTTTTTTCTTCAGCAGTCCTTTCCCTTTTGTCTGATGTTTCAGAGTGGATTGTTAGCCTGTTGGAAAGACCTTGTTCATCTTTTATTCATGCACAGAGCCTAGTAGGTATTTTAAAAATATTTGCTGTTGACAATGGAAGGAAGAAAAGGCAGTGAAGAGACTGTGGTTGAAGACAGGTAGTCTGAACAGGTTTTAGAGAAAGAGGTAAATAATGTTTTTTGGTAGGGACTCCCTCCTTGAGGTTCTATGAGAATTACAGATGGCATGGATGTCAGACTTAGCATAAAAGGAAATCTATGGACCCTTTTCTTCAGATCCAAACACTAGAGAAGCTGCAAAGGAACTAACTTTGCCAAGCACACAAGGGTTCCTTTAACGTAATACTAGATGCTGATCAATTCATTTCTGCTTAATTACAAGTAGCTTGTTTATTTATGCAGTGGTCTGAGGGCAGGGGACTTTTGAAATCATACTTGACTTTGTAAAAGGTACCTCCTGAGCTTTTTCTAGCTGATTATGTTTACAATCTTCATCACAGTGTTCTTCATATTTAGTGGCAAAGGTTGACTCTCTGGGCAAGGTGTGCTCTGGGCCAGTCACAGCATTCTTCTTCACAGCTGCCTCCCTTTTTAGACTGTCTATTCCCCTGCTTCACACTCACCCTGACCATGCTTTATGTATGTATTTATTATATTTCTATCCCACCTTTTGCCCAAGGTTCCCAGGTGGTCTCCCCTCCAAGCTCAAGTGAGCCCCAGACCTGCAGAGCTTCAACACAGTGGATGTGCCTTCAGACCATTCTCTGGCTTTCTCTCCATCACCAATCAGTGTCAGGAAAGAAGTTCCTGGTTCTCGCAGTTCTTCTTTTCTTTAAGAAACAACAGCAGTTGTGTGGCAGCAGGTGTGCTTGCTGTCACTGGGGCAATGCACACACAGGGCTGGTGTGTGCAGCTGGCTGGGCAGGCCCTTCACTGAGTAGCTGCTTCTCTGCAAATGGATTTTGAACAGGGAGAAAAACCCTCCTTCCAAGCAAGCAAGTGAAGACACAAAAAGCTGTGTGGTGCTCAATGCACTGCCAGGCAAGTGCTGTAGGTGGTTAGCCAGTGCTTGGCTAAGTGGCGCATCTATCACCATGCAACATTTAAAAGGTGAAGAACATTCTTGCCTTAAAGCTCTCTGGAAATTTGGGAGTGGGAAGAAATGAAAGGGAGAATGCCAGGACCACTCCAGTAACTGATTTTCTCTCACCACATTCCCTACTTAGATAGCATTTGGAGTGGGGAAGGCCTTCATTGCCTCCTCCCTAAAACAGTTCAGTTCAGAAGTGGCATGCGCATTGCTCAGCACGTGTGTTGGCCACCACAGTAATTGGTCATGTTTTGGTCAGTAGTCATGTGGGGCCCAGAGTCATGCTGGGAAGCTGAAGCGGCAGCCAAATGTGGCTGCAATTGACTCAGCAGATGCTTCAAACGAGCAATTTGCCAGCCACTGCTAAGTATTTCCTCCACAAGTGGGATGCTGCTGCCTGTCTCCTCTGGAAACATTGCCCCAGACTGCTGCCTGGAAATCGAGGTCTAATGTGCTTGCATTTGCGTGCATATATCTACGTAGAGCTTTCCTCCAATAATTAAGGGCTTACTTTCTTCTTCCAAATAATGTGACATTTTTGAAAATCTGGAGATTAAGGAACAAAGCCTGTGTGTAGAGTTGAGGCTAAGTGCCATGACCGGTGTCAGAAAGTCATTTGAAACAGAATGAAACATGGTGGACAAGATGATAAGGAATTCTGCACTTTATAAAAAGCTTCCAAATGTTGTTTGTCTGTAGCAAGAAGGCAAGAGGCAGTAAGACTCTAGAAGCAAATTTACTGGAAGCTGATTTAGATATAACTCAGAGGCTGAAAGTAAAAAACCTTGCTCAGAGTCTTGCTCTACATGGGAATGTAAAAAACTTCATGGCTCGCAGCCCATGTAGTACAAATGGTGTATGTCCCTAGTGGACAGAGTGCTGGCAGGCAAAAATTAACAGGAATTAGACCATTCTCTCTACCAGCTGCAAGCTGAAATATGGAACCCTTGGAGAAAGCACAGAATAATTGGCACCACATGTTTGCAAATTAGTTGTGGCCCTCCAGTTTATGGTCTAGTTCTGACAAGTCCTCTATCACAAGCAACTTACCTACCATTGTTTTCTCTGATTGCACATGACTCATAAAGTTTTTGTCTTGGGTGAGATCACTCATGCTCTGAATGAGCCCCAGTTGTCCAAGGGTTTTTTGATCTGTGTTCATTGCTACTTAAGAGCCCTGAAGGATGTGGGATTATTCTAGCACCAGTACAAACCTATTAGAACCCTGTCAGGAGGAATGAAGAGAAAGCTTTCTATTGCCATTTTGTTCATTGGAAACTCCAAGACTGTGGTCCTGGATGCGCCCACCAGTGGTGTAGATCCGTGCTCATGTCACAATATCTGGGATATTCTGCTCAAGTACAGGCCAGGTATGAAACCAATCAGATCATTCTGGAGTCTTTGTTTTTTGTCTGAGGTATCTGGCAGACACGGGGACATTTCATGTACTGTGAAGGTCTCTTTCCAGTTTTGGGAGGTTGATATTTTAGGGAGAGTTATGAAAGACAGAGGGAATGTGCATCATCACACATTTAAGAGAGGGGTCATAGCTCAGCAGAGATCTTATGCTTTGCATGTAGAAGATTTCAGGCTTGATTCTTAGTGTCTCCAGGTAGGGCTGGGAAAGGATCTGGTCTGAAACTGGAGAGCCACTGCCAGTTGGTGTTGACAATAAATGTATCAATGGCCTGATTCCATATAAAGGCAGCTTCCCAGTTCCTGAATGCTGGTCTCTAGGTCAGCCTTGGAAATAAGCTCACAAATGTGACTGGCTTGCAATGGCTCCCAGATGAACTGTTAAATGCACGACTGCTCTTTGGGGCCAGCCATGTATCTTCTCTACTTATAAAATCAAGGTCATCCTGCAGATGAGGGGTCTGAATTCCCACTTTATGTCCTTGCTGTTAGTCACCCAATCTCTTTTCCTCTGGCTTAGATTATCAAACTAGCTCCTCGCACCCTGTTTTAAGGGAGCAGCTCAGACCTGTGGGCAAACAAACATGGCTCCTGTAGCTATTTCTAGTTTGGCCTTTAGTATTAACATGGCTGAGCATGAAAGAGGACAAGGTTCATCCATCTTTCCTGGTTGTGTAGATGAGAGGAATATTTTAACAGGGTGCAACATGTTACAAAAATTGCATTGGTTGAAATTCTTGTTTTCTGTGCAACTATTAAAGAAAAAGAATTGCTTTCATCCTTTGCAGCTGAACCCCTTACTTTCTAGGCTGGATGAGAAATGTTTCAAACCAGCTGGTCAAAATGACTGCATCTTCCTCAATTAAATGTTAGTACAGTTTAGAATCTTGGGTCATGGATCCTTTGCATGGTGCATAACTTTTCCCAGGTTTTACTCTTGTGCATTCGATGGCAAATGTTATATTGCTGACACTTTTGGGGAAACAGTAATGGGAGAGACTTAGGGTTGCTCTGCTGTTAAGAGCATCTTGATATGCAAGCATTAGCAGATAGAAACAGCGCAATAGTTGTCCAGTCCTTTTTAAAAGCCAAACCCAGGGAGTTTAGGGGACCCGAGTTCAAGAGCACACAAATTCTCCAACCTCCACATAGTGCTCAGAATCCAGCAGTTAGGAGTTCCACTCCTTCTCCCTGCCCTTCACTGACTAATGCATACTTCTTTTTCATTCTTCCCTTGCCTGCTTAGTATAAGAAGGAATGTTCATGGTGGAAGGAGCACAGGGAGACCTTTCAATTGCTTGTTCTTCTTCCCCTATGCACTTCACCATTACCTAATATCAGAAAAGCTGGGTGGGGTGGATTCTAGGATGGTGATTCATTGAGCTGGGCAAAAATCCCTATGGTCAGGTTCCCCCAGATTTTCATACACACGTGGTGGATGCTTAATTGCTGCTGCACTGGATTGGGGAGTTTAATTCCTGACAAATGTTCAGTGTTGGAAGCTCAGGAAGCCAAGTACCTGGCCCAGGGAGCAGTGTGGCTAATGAGGCAGGTTAAGACTCTAATCAATCAATCAATCAATCAATCAATTAAAAAAAAACCCCAGAAATAATAATGATCTGGCCCTTTAAAAAATGTCCTATGTCTACTTATTGTAAGCCACGAGGGTCTATGGGAGGCAGCATTTCTTCCCTGCCATGTTTCTATGGACTGGGAAAGCTTCCTTGCTTGCTAGAAAAAATGCTGTGAGGTCTCCTGAAGGTACCATTCCTGGGGTCTGGAATTCTTTTCTGGAAATGCTGTAGGTAGCAGGGCTAGACATGAATGGTGCCATGTGGAGAGCCTTACTGTTCATGAGCAGAGGAAACAATGAGGCCTTTTTTAAGTGAAAAAAGAGTGTGGTGGGGAGAAGGAACCATCGGTCACCTTAAATTATACTAAACTAAGCCAACCTTGATTTTTTTCAGAAATTTACCATGCCCCCATGGCTCAGCTTCAGGACATTCTTTTTTGGTTTTCACTCCAACCCCATGACTGCTAAATTTGAGTCTTGCTTAGAAAGCATTCCAGTTGTACATTTAAGGACTAAAGCACCTGCCTAATAGTGTGATAAAGGAAGATGGCATTTGGGTACTGCATATTGTTAAACATGAAAGGCTCTAGCTTTAAATGACAAAAAAGGGCTTAAAAAAACCAAGTATGCCTGGCTGGGGGAATCCTGTGAGATGTGTGCCTTTTTTCTATTTAAATACTCATAGGATTGTGTCCTTAGAGAATCAATATTCAGCTTAACTCTGATATGAGAAGTGAGCTAGCCTTGGAAAAATGGGCCAGGGGTGATGGGAAGACAAGCAAACAAACTCTAACCCAAAGTCAGAGGGTATGCATTGCAAAAGGAATTGTTACCGTCCCAACTAAAATTCAAAACCTTTCTTTAGGAAAGAGAAAGTGAGTTATGAAATGTGTGTATACTTAGCTGAGTAATCTTCAGAATGCATTATTCATTGTTTTTCTCTTTCATGACATTGTTTGTCACCTTTGCATGGCTTACATCTTTTTTACATGTAATTTCATGCACTTTTTATTATTCAAATATACTTAACAACTCTCAGCAGCTCATTAAACCTTCAAACATGAAAAGCTGTAGCTGAGCATTGAAGGTAAACTTTTCAAGTAATTGCTGTTTAACCCATTTTTTTTAAAGATGGATCCCTTTAAACAAGGATTAGGCAAAATTATTGAAGCCTGGTCTGTCAATCAATATTAGCAGCAATAAGTCAAATAGTACTTCCTTGATTAAAGGTGGAAAGGGTACTTCTACTTTCTGGGTGCTAACAATGGATTCCACACACACAGGCACACATTAATTCCTCTCTCTAACACACCAACACATTCACATCCCAACTCTTGCCCTGCATCCCACTCAAGCAGCAGTTAAGCTTTTCAAAAATCTTCCAATGAGGTTGTGTGTATTTGTGTGGTTTTGTGCATGTCTCTCTGTGTGCATTTTTGGACATTTTGAGGGCTGTAGCAGAATGTAGAGATGGAAGCAGTCTTATTTCTCTTCTGTACTTTGGCAGTCCCCCCCCCCCCCACGACACATGCAGTAATCAGGCTTGAAAAACAAGTATCTTTTCCGCATGGGGAGATTTGTGAGGAGGGCATATTACATGGGCAGGGGAGACTTCATTGCTTTCTTCCAAGCTATGAATCTGCAGCAGAAAGTCTTTGGAAAGAACCCAAAAAAACCCTGGTTATTCCATGAGGCTGTTTTGGGTGTGGTATGGCTGACAGGTCAACCCCCTGCCCCCCACTCTGATTCCATAAGGCAATTGTTATTTTTGTGAGACCACTCACCCACCCTCCCACTGGCAGGATCTGGTTCATATATTGGCAGTGGTATATTTCAAGTAGGTTTGGAAAGGGTGGGGACAAGCATGACATGGCAAGCATTTGATGTACATGTATATTATATAAGATCAAACTGAATGGCAAACAGGATTTTCTGACTCAGGATGATCTGATTTCACTGTGTGGGTTTCATGTTGAAGTTTGGGAACTAAATCATCTTATTTGTTCAAACCTGTCATTGCCTACCATTTGGATGACTACTGTAAGTGCTTTGGATCAATGAACTCTACTAAGGTTTTTAAGTTCAGTGCATTGATTTTCTTGGCATAGGTCACACTGTGTTCTTCACGACACATCATCTTGATGAAGCAGAAGCAGAAGCAGTGAGTGACCGCATTGCCATCCTGCAGCATGGGCAGCTGAGATGCTGTGGTTCTCCGTCTTACCTGAGGGAAACATACAGCCAAGGACATAGTCTAACTTTCACAAAAAGGGTGAGATGTGTGAAGCATTTTATTATTTATTTATTTAAAACGTTTCTATGCCGCCCCATTTGCCGAAGCCTTGGGGTGGCTCACAACATAAATTAAAATATAATACATCCAAAATATAAAACAAATTAACAATATAAAATAAGTTGCCCTGGCCAGATAAAATAAGCAAATAATATTAACAATTAAAATGACGTTTAAATAAAAAGGTCTTTGCCTGGCGCCGAAAAACAAATAACGAAAAACAAATAATATACTGCTGTGTCTTCTGCAGGAGCACGATCCAGTTGATTGCTCTGTGTAGAATTGCCAGGTTCAGTTGCCAGTGTTCTTTCAAAACCTTGTTCAGCCATCTTTCCTCTTAGGAATCTTGTACAGGTTGTAGGTATGATGCTGATAGGCTGCATAGTAGCTGCTTTCTTGAGTCTAGTGCATCATGGCTGCTGATGGTTGCATTATTGATGGTAGCCCATGCAACCCACTAGTCTGGAATCTCTTGTCAAGAGAAAAGAAGGCGTTGAGAGAGAATTACTGGAGCAAAGTTTCCACTAAAGATAAAACTGTTGGCCAATATTGTTGGGTGGTTTTGGCTCACAAAAATTTTTTAAAGGAGGCACATCATCTTTTACTTTACTATATGCTGTTACTTAATCAATGATACAGGGAAGCTTGAGTAAAGCTTCTGTAATAGAACTTGGAATTTGAACAGCAATCCTATGGCTGCTATATAGCATCTAAATGCCACAGGACTTCTGAGGTTCCCCGTTATGGAGATGGAGAATCTGACTTCGTAGCTACGGATTGACCCTTGGATTCCTGCACCTGCCCCAGTGGCTTCTGGTGAGGAAAGAAGGAGCTGCATCAGCTCCTTCTCCCATGTTGCAAGCAAGTCTTTGAAGAAGAGGTTTTGTGGGTGGAGAGGGAGGGCAGGGAAGGAAGGAGATTGGTGTAACTGAGATACAAGGTATCCTGGGGCTCCTCAGCTTCCTTCCCTCCTACCCCAAAGTGCTGCACAGTTGAAACTGGCTAAGTGCTTTGCAGAATGTGAGGAGCTTAGAGATTACTTTCTCCTACAAGTTCCTCCCAACCTGCATAGGATGCCCCAAATCCTTCAAATTAGGAGAGTTGCAGGCATCCCAGTTGAATCAAACTCTAAACAATTTAATTACACATTATTTGCTGATCCTCTGTATGGTTCAGAGAGGCTATCATACGGTTCTCTTTCCAGAGAATATACAGCTCAAGACTAGCTTAGCTTCAGCTCTGTCCTCTTAGAGTTTCTCATTAATATTTCTGGAGCACCATTATTCCAGAAGCTCATGGAAAATTTAGAAACTACCTGACCTCTTTTTAAAAATGAAAGGTCATGCTGGGAGAAAGCATTTAGAGCAGGGGTCTCAAACTCGTGGCCCGTGGGCTAATTGCCGGGATGGGCGGGGCACGGGGGAGGGGTCCTGCGGCCTTCAAAGCGCCGGTGGCACCCGGGCCGGCCGTGGGATGAGCGGCCCACCCCCACGGCGGTGATGGAATACTTGATGCAGCCCAGCCTCACCCAGACTCTACTTCCAGTGGCCCCCAGGTAAGTTGAGTTTGAGACCCCTGATTTAGAGAGAAGAACAGGGAGGATAGTTCCCCCGCACCCCCAAATCCACCATCTCACCATTGTAAACTATTACCCTTCAGCACCTAGAAATCTTGCTCAGCCACCATTTTGGCCTCTACAATTCATCAGTCATTCTCCAAGTACCATATCAAGTTTCTCTTTGGAGTATTGAGGGCTAGAAACTACTAAAATAACCAAAGGCATTGGGAAAAATATGGAATAAAATATGGTTCATTTGTACAATATATGCACTTTCAGGATTTAGCTTTGTATGGTACAAAATTTGAATTAGCAATTGTTTTAGTATACAATACAATACTAAACCTAATATTTATGATCCAGCCTTTTCCTCCCACAATATTGCTGATAGGATATATAATCTCCTCTTCTCTTTTTTCTTTTTGTGCAGCCCCCTCCATTTGCCGTTGAAGACCCCAGGGATATCCTTTGTATTACTTCTCTGGTTCAGACCTACATACCACAAGCATTCCTGAAAGAGAACAGTGGAAGTGAATTGACCTATATGATCATAGTGGATGCTGATAAGGCCTCTTTTACAGGTCTTTTCCAGACTTTGGATGAAAACCTCCAGTGTCTCCATGTGACTGGCTATGGTATTTCTGATACCACCTTGGAAGAAGTAATCTATGTTCTACATTATCTGGCACTGAATCCTCTGGAAATTGGCAACAATGGACAAGTCTTGGGTTTGCTATTTTGAAGATGATGCATTCTGATGTGCAGGTGATAACAATTGAAGTAGACTCTCTATACTGCATGTTCTGTGCTCTGTTTTAAACAGTATGTGCGAGCACATATATTAATATGAACTGTCGTGTGTGTTCAGACTAGTAACATTTCCTGTTTATTGACACTTTTATATATGTATTATTTGAGGAATCTTGTTAGCCTTTGAAGCACAGTTGCATTACTCTATCAGTAGATATCCTAGTCTTGCCTATACGAAGTCCACTGATCAGTGTGTGTGTGTGTGTGTGTGTGTGTGTAAGGGGGTTGTCCACATGCTGCAGGGTGTATGTGTCAGGAACTGAGGCAGCTTCAGGGCTCCTTCTACTGGCTGAACAATGGAATAACAGCTCTGGTGGTTGCAGCATTTGTCCCAGAGTCTACTGCAGAGCCAGGACCCTCATGAGCACAACCTAGGAGCCCTGAGGGAAGAGCTATATAGGAACTGGCTCTTCCCTCCAGAGGCTGCCTTAGCAACAAAGGTCTCCTGACATGCTGAGGTGTTTTAACTTTCTAGTTGTTGTTGCCTGAGTCCCTGGACGCTGCTCTAATACTAAGGTATCCCCTCCTGTTGGTGTCGCTTGATCTGCTGACTGACTCCTGGCTTGACTCTGCTATTGCCTAGTGGGCTGTACTTTGTCTCATGCCTCTGTTACTCAAAGCTCTGATTTTGGATTATTGGACCTGGTTAGGACTGATGTTTGGACATTGGCTCAATTGCCAAGTCTTGGTTCCTGTGCCTGCTATTCTGCCATCCATGTCCTGGACTCTGATGATATATATGTATATATGGAAAGAGTAAAGAGATGCTAAAAAGGGTTTCGGGTATTTATTTATATTACATGTTGGCTCAGTCTTTTTGGAATGGGGCTGCACTCCCTTGAAAGAGCTTGGGAGCTCTCCTGAAGTCATCTTTTTCACTTGAGTCTCAGGTGGCCTTAGTGGCTTGGAATACTTCTACCACCTTCAGCTGGTGACCCAGCTATGCCCCTACATGGACAGGAATAACCTGGGTTCAGGTGTTGGTATTCTCATAAACTCCAGGTTGGATTACTTCAGCATACTCTGTGTGGGGCTCCCCCTGTAGAGAGGTCAGAAGCTGCAACTTATACCCAATCTGGTGGGCAGTGCTGCAATGGGGTAAGATGTTCTAAACATAGAACACTGATTCTGCCTGGATATATTACCAAGTCTGGTTCAAGGTTTTGGTTTAGCTGATAAAGCCTTCCATGACTCAGGACTTATAGGTCCCTTTCCTGGCATGAACCTACCCATACACTCTGTCCATCATCTAAGTGCATGAGGGAGTGGGCTTTCTTGGTGGAGTCTCCCAAGTTGTGGGATGAACTCTTGAAAAAGGCCCACCTAGTGCCAACATTGTTGCCTTTTCAGTGCCAAGTTGCGGACTTCTATTTCTCTCAGGTGTTTGGCAGCAGATGGTGAGATTTGAATAAGGTCTTGGATTTTTTTTTATTGCTGATTGTTTAACATCCTTTATGAATATGTGTCTCTATGTGCTGGCAGCCTATATGATTGTATGTAAATGATGTTTATACTATGTAGAATGTATTTTCAATGGTTTTAATCTTTGTAAAGCACCTGGAGAGCTTTGGCTACATAAGAAATGAAAGGAAATGAAAGCAGCTGCAGTTTTTATACAGTTACCAATCACAGTCTCATGTATTGCAAATTTTAATGGACTAGTCTCAAATTTACAAAGCATGAATGACATAGCTGGATTGGAAAGCAATGTGGCCAGCTAGGCTTTTCAGCAGCAGTGTTCATTGCTGCTACTTGATTTTGAGATTCTGGGTTAATAGGTCATTTCCACGTCTGAAAATTCACCCTGTCCGGACCTGCACAGTTCAGAAACTTCCTAAAGAAAACTCACGTAACTTAGTGAGCCAAGCAGTCTATGGTTCAAATGTCTCCTTGGCCACTTACTCACTGGGTGAGATTAGATGCTTCTCTGCAATATGGGGATAAAACATGTATGTAAGGTAGGTCAGTTTAATGAGATAATACCTCCAAAGTCCTTGAACTGTTTAAAGCATTATACAAAACTCTCATATTCATCATGGTATAGTACAGGAAAGGGTTGGTGTGGGAGATGGATTGGGGAAAGGAGTAGGGGTTTAATGACTAGGGCATCCTCTTCTCAGTGAAAAGCCTGTACAAGGCACCCCATCTCAGTAGACCCAGTGGTGGTAGTCAGCAGAGTTGGGCTACTGAGGCTTGCAGGCGGGAAAGGGCTCCCTCCACCAAGTGATGGCCTGGGAGGGCAAGGCAAATGCAAGACTGATGCCAGGTCTGGTGGCATGACCGTCCATTTTCCATGGCACTCTTGCACTCCCTTTGGCCCTGTCAACACTGATGTGCCTGTCAGATAAGGTGACCTCTTAGGCTTCATCAGAAGACAAAAGGGATGTGGGCTTGCATGTGCTAATGTGTATGAGTGGATACAAATCGAGAAATAATTGTGGTAATAGAAATACAGTACATCCAACTGTAATGGGATAGCCTGCGATGAGGTGATAAAGGATTCTTCATCTTTAAAAGGACTTTGGACTGGACAGGCCTTTAAACAGAGGGCAACCTTCAAATAAAGGACTGCCTTCTGTAAACTAGGACACCTTGGCCTTATCAGTGGGCACAAGAGAAGTGCTAGAGAGTCCTGCTCTGTGGAAAGGTGTCCAGGAGAAAAGGAGGCAGGCAGGTAAAGATAGCACCAGGTGCTTGCTCCTACCCCACCTGGACCTGTTTTCTTGTAAGTGTACAGTTTCTAATTGATTTGCTACATTTTGAAAATGTTGTGAGCTGTTTTGAGGACTCTAGCTGGAAAGCAGAATATGCATCAAAAGTTTAAATCAAAAGATAAATAAAGGATTAGGCAAGAACCGGACTACACTTGTTCAGAGCACCCTCCCCATCAGGAAACAAGAGGCCATCCCAGGCTTCCTTTTGTCAGGGAAACACCCAGTTGCTGCAGCCAGCCCAGTTTCCTGCTGAAGAATAGAGGAGGCACTGGAAGCTGCCATCAGCATAGGGACAGCTGTCGCTTATGTGAGTAGGGGAATATTTTGGGGAGTTGCTACCCTCCTGCTTGCCCCCAGCCCCAGATCCCAGAACTAGCCCTGCAAAGAAAATCTGTCATTCTGCCTACTTCATCTTGGAGGCCGTGGTCCAACTTTCAATGGATCAGTTTCATCTGTAAAATAGTTCCCTTTTGTGTTGATGGGAATTACCAACTGAAATTGGGCCATGGAATTGAACAATCTATTATCACAGAAATGAGTTATTTTCTTTGAATTGTACTCATCCCAACTTGAGTATATCAATTTTTATCCTCCTCCCAGCAAAAATTCTCTACATATCAGATTCTCCAGATAATAAGCTGAAATGGTTCCACTGCAGATCTCTTCTTGATAGCAGCTAAGTTTTTGCTTGTTGTAGCTTTTTTGTTTCTCAGATCTACAATAAAAGCATAAACCTAATATTTTCCCATAGGCAGAAGATAATATTTTGCTTGATAGCACAGCCTCCTCACCAGCACTTTGCAGAGCTGCAATTTTGCTATTGATTTTCTTTTGCTCTTCAAGGGTCAAAAAGTAAACCACGCACAGTGGGAGCTGTGCAGTATTAGTGAAGGAAAACCAAGCATCAATGTATTTGTTTCCATACACTCAAAGTACATCATGTGAGTGTCTAGGTGTTTGTAAGAACTTCATTTTCTGTAGTTCCTAATGCACAGAGGATTTCTTAAAGGTTATGCTGTAGATCATGTGTGAGGATAGTTGTGTTAAGCTGTTTCCTGATGAGCATTCCTGTTGTTCAGAATGTGTCTTGTTCTGGAATGATCAGTATTAGTGGAAATTTATATGCATTTCAGGCTTAGCCTGAACCTTTAAGGAGCTACCTGTGGTGTGGCACTGTAGTCCCCAGATAGAGTCAACACCATGGACTGGTGTTGAACCTATTTGAAACTTGAAAGTTCAGACTGAAATGCAGAGTGGATACCCTGACCCCTGGCATTGGAGCCACCAGCCAGGGCTGTGGTCTCTAGGACAGAAAATAAATGTGCTTGCAGTTAAACTAGGACTTGTTGTTTGGAAGCCAGAGGGCTTGTGCTTCCCTATGGTGATGTGCTCCCTCAAGAATGATCAATCTCAGAGTTCCTCATCCAAGAAGTGAAGGGAATAACTGCAGGAAGGGGCAAGATTAAAAAAATGATACCAAGTACAGTGGGAACCAAGGTGGCTAGTAGGATTTACAGGTTCCAATATGTCCTTCCCTCTCTCTCTCTGTCTCTGTCTCTGTCTCTCTGTCTCTCTCTGTCTCTGTCTCTCTCTCTCTCTCTCTCTCTCTCTCTCTGTGTGTGTGTGTGTGTGTGAGAGAGAGAGAGAGAGAGAGATGTTTGGCTATAGTTACAAATAATGAGATTGTACATATGGAGTCAGTACTGACTTCAGATTCTGAGGGCCTTTGGGCAAGACATTCTCAAGGCACCCTGACCTTCCATAAGTCTCCTTTCTCACTGCCATGGTCACCAGCTGCTGTTGTGCCTCATCCTTTTCCCATCACTGCTACCACTTACTTGCATCACAGGCCAAGATCCAGTGCCAAGTCAGCTGTGGCACCTACTGGTCCCCCTTCTCACCACTACAGCTTCCTGGGCCAGGTCAACAAGCAGGTTATATTTGTGAAAAGGAGGAACAATTCCAGGGACCTTTTCTTAGAGGGTCTTTGATGTGCCGCGGGCCCTCAGTAAGTGCCCAGCCATCCCTCTACTTGATGACAATCCCGAATTGGATAGGATTATGACACCTAAGTGGGATGGTGCCCATTTTATAATCTGCTTTTGGAATATGCTTGGGCCCTGGAAAAATGTGCAGTATCTGTTTACCAGAGGCAATACGAAGATGAATGTGCACACCAGAATGGGGATTGGGCCCATTCATTCTGAGGAAGATTTTCAAAAGGTCATGGGAAGCGGTTTTCATTCAGATGAAGAGGAGAAGTGGGAAGTGGAGAATGAAGAGCTAAAAACGGGGGAGATGGAGATAAAGTAGGAGGGAGTAGAAAATCAGGTGTTCCTGAAACTACAGGAAACCAGAGGTATTCTGAGAAGGAGCAGAAGGGGCAAATGGATGTTAAAAGTCCAGGGGTGACTCTTAAAAGTCAATTAAGAAGGCAGAGATGGCAAAACATAGAGAGACATTTTAAATGGTTTGCTCTGGGAAATTGGGGCTTACCTGGAAGGCTTAGTTTTGAGATACCATTGGATGGGAAGGGGAAGGCATTAGTCAATCCTAATTAGTCTGGAATCTACTCTCCATCTGGTCCGTTGCATTGATTAACGGATTCTATAGAAATCTTACAAGCTTGTTTCTTTTCCTATTGATCTGTGGAAAACACAACCTTTAATCAAAAACCAGCTATGCTTGTTTGCAGTTTCGCAAAATAAAGTTTAGATGGTTTAAAAAAACACACAATTTCTCTGCTTAACTGCAGAGGGAGAGAGCTGGCCTTCACACCATGGACAATGAGCCTTTCTAAAATTGTAAAACAACAGCCTTTTTGCAGTTTCCACAGCTGCATATTCCTCTGAATTCAAATTTCTCTTTGGAGGCAGGGCTGTAGTGAGAATGTGTGCTTAACAGTTTCAGCTGTGTGATCTGTTTTCTAGACTCCCGTATTTCAGAACTCTGATGCTGACCAGCCTTTTGGGAATAAGAACAGCCATGCTGGATCAGACCAAATGCCTGACTAGTTCTGCATTGCATTCCCACTGTATCAAAGATGCCTAGGAGGAGCCCATGAACAGGACACAAGGACAACAGCATCTTGCTGTTCAGTTCTCTAGCAACAGATCTTAGGAGGCACACTGCCTCTGATACATGAATGGTCCACATGTGTCAAGGTCAATGCATGAGGGTGTTCTGCTCTATTGTGGTCCTGGGCATCATTGTATGAACACAGCTACTTTCCTTCTTATTCCGTTGGTGTGATGTCTTTTTGCCATTAGGCTATTGAGCCAGGGAGTAAGTGGCTCAACACCGGCAAGGGTGGCAGGAATGAAAATCTGCTGGTGGGCCAGCCTTTCCTGACCCTAGTACCTTCCAGAGGTTGTGGACATCAGTTGCCATCAAGCCAGTCAGCATGGCCAATGGTGCAGAATTCTGAGAACTGTAGTCTAAAATCACCTGGAGGACAGCAGACTGGGCCATGGTTACTGTATGCCTTCCATAAACCCCAGTGCAGCACATAGTTGCTGGTTTTATCACTTGTGATGTCCATGGTACAAGTTATCTATTTTTTAACAGAAGTAGCTCATTCTCCATTGATTGTGTGTGCTGCAGGATCTGTTTACTATTATTAGTTTTTCTCATGAGGAAAGAGTATTATAATGTGATCACCAAGATTTTATATCAAGACCTTTCCAGATGGGGAGTAAAGCATAACCACTTTTGTTCTATATGAAGAGAAAACAGAGTTCACTCTATACAAATAGATTTGGAGTCACTTTTTAACACCATTGTTCAGGAATCCTAATGCATTCATCTATGCACATGTTTTAGTTATGTTGCCACTAAACAACAAAGGACCACCTTGGAACAGGTCCCTGAATCCTCTGAAGAAAGAGGAACCACCAGGGAACTAAAATCAGTAGTGCTATGCCTGTGCAACTGTATGTAGAATTTTAGCCATAGTAAAGAAAACCTCACGTGTTGCTTCCCTCTTTCCCTCCATTAAGGTGTTCTTGAAAGTACTGCAGAGCACAGAGAAGACATCGCATGTTCCTGTGGTCATGGACTTGGAGTTCACTCAAGGAAGCAGCAGGGATTCAGCACATAAAAATGGAAAATAAGAAAACAAAAACACTATCCTTTGTGACAGCCTGCAGAATGGTGCTATGGAACTGTCTGGATTGCTAAACCATAAACAAAAAGTGTCTAAGGGCTACATATTGGAAGCATGAAAAATGCAAAAGATCAATGACCCAACAGCCTATCCGTAGTGTAAAATTTCCCTCCTAGTGATTCTCTGCTCTGCTATTTTGGGATGCAGTATACTACACTGTAATACAATAATGTAAAATTAAGTTGATATTAAATACAGTATTTTTGTAGAAGTGGTCAACACACTTGTAATTTCCTCCAGAGCCCCTGATCTCTGTTCTCTGGCTTTTGATGCTGTTGCCTGCTGCTTCTGCTTTGCTGGGCTTCCATGAAGCCCTCCGTGTTCTATGGTTGCATTGACCAGCACCACAAAAGCTCTAGTGAATCTAGGCTGAGGCTGCTACACTAATATTCCTAGGTGACTGCATGTTCTTATAACTCTGGTATGGTGCATGATAATGCCTTTGCTTGATGGTAAATAAATGATCAGTCTGTAGATAAGGAGCACAGAAATGTAGGATCTCGGTGAGGAAAGGGAGGAATTTCTTTGGGTGGCACTGGGAAAAGGCAGTCTTTCTCTGTTGCCAGGCAGGAGATGGGATGGCACCCTGAAAAGAAGCTAGCAGACCAGATGGGGAACTCCCAAGGGCTGGAGTTTTCACATTCCTGCTGTGGGCCATGAACACTTGGTGCTGAGCTGTTGGATTCAGCTATAAATATTGTACCTTCAGCATAGTTGTTATGTGGCCAGTTCGGGGTATTGCTGTCTGAAAATCACCAGAAGAGCAGCAGGTCTGAGTGCTTCTGTGCCTTTAACAGCCATTTGATAATAACAATTTTTATGGGATGGGGCTATACAGAATTGCTTCCTAATGATGCAGGGACAGCTAATATTCATTCATTATATTTATATCCTGCCTTTTTCCCTCAAGGAATCCAAGGCAGTTTACATAATTTCAGTTTTATCTTCATAACAACCTTGTGAGGTAGGTTGGACTGAGAGTTAGTGAGTGGCCCAATGTAACCCAGTAAGCTTTGTGGCTGAATGGGGACCATAACATGGATTCCAATCCAAGATGCTCCTCCATCTTGATCTGACATTTCACCTTTGATCAAATTCCCAGCATCCCTTCTCCATTAGGTTTGTCCCCCTTTCTGGTTCCTGTCATCCTAGGCAATAAATTTGGTGTTATCATAAAATATTATGATAATATAATCATATTATTATGTATAATATGATTAGTTTGCTCCTGGAGTCATCCAGATGTTATACATTCTATCGGCATGTGCCAGAGCAAGGCTGTGCCAAATTGTTGTTATTCACAGGCCTTGAGTTTTCCACTGCAGTTTTGAGATTCTAAATCATTCTTGTCTGGTTTGAAATCAGACCCACCCTCCCTAGTACTAAGGCCCAATGTGCTGCTTGGACCAGTCTTGACAGCTAAAGCATTGAAATGCTGGGGAAAGCCTGTGATGCTGTGTAGAATGGAAAGGCACAGAGCCCTGCTCTGCATATATAGTGACTCTGGGTCAGTCCATGACATCTCGAACTAAAAGGAATTGGGGGAGCAGGACTGGAAAGCAGCTTTGCTTGAGACAGTGGAGAGCTAGGGGGTAATATTAGACTATGTGGTGTGGCAGCTTGATTCAGTCATATGCATGTTCTTGTGAAAATAGGCAATCCTACTTTGTAGACACCTGCAGGAGTAGAGAAGAAGCAAGTGCATTAGTAAACTTCCCTTTGGGGCAAAGGATAAAAGTGGGTAAAACAAAATGTTCCAAGATAAAAAGTTGTTCCATAAAACTGTTTGGAGAATTTCATTTTCATTCCAAAGCACCAAGCAATCTCATGAAATACTGAAACTAGTTTTGCAGTTACAAGGCCATTGCAACATTTGTTTTGTTAATGCTTTGATGAATTCCTGAAAAGTCTGAGAAGGGCAATACATTAAAAAATAATCCTTGCACTCTACGCTACATAATACATTTAGGTATAATTAGCAACCTGCCTGCAGAGACATGCAGTTATGTATATGTAGGATAGTTCTTCAAAAAACGAAAAGACATCCAGTAATTAGAAGCTGTAGGCTCCATACTTGATCAATTACAATGAGAAAATGCAGTGATAATGCCTACCTTTGGAGTCCGGAGAAATTTCCATTCAGTTGATGAGTGTCAGGTATCATTATGGGCAGTTGTGCAGCATAGGCATCAGGGCTTGGGAATTGTGACAAAATGTATCCTCCTTTGCTGGAGTTAGCGAGTATTCCCAGAAGGCAGTACTTTGACCCTTATAATTTTTGTCTCTGAGACAAACTCAGAGGTGTAAACAAACTTTGCCTTTGCTAAAGTAGTGAAATGGATTTACTTTAAAGCAAAACTAACAGCAGAGAAGATTATGGTTGATTATTTATTTAATTTCTATACTGCCCCACAGCTGAAGCAGTTTACAAACAGGTTCTGTTTCTGTGTAAAATAAAGAGAAGTGGGGTTTCACCAGAAATGTTTGGTCCCGCACATCCAATGCATGCTTTTATCAATAGGAATGGAAAGGACCACCTGAAACTGCGTTTTCAGCAAAATCAGGTAACCCTCCTCCCCCTTGAAAATGGTTTTGCCCTCAGAATTGCTAACAAGATTTAGAAGAACCTGTCTGTACCTGAGATTGCTTATTGCAAATGCAGTTAACCTATTTTAATGCCATTTCTTTCATAGAATAAGTGTTCCTGAAAGCACAGTATATTTGTTCTTTTGGTAGACATATTTGGAAACAATTTTGTATAATTCTTAATTATATAATGAAGATGGTGAAATGGTAAACACAGGACTATCTCATTTTATTTTCACAATAAGCAGTTGAAAGCAATACAGACTGAAAGAACTTTTTGCAAAGCAAGTGACATAATGGAGCGAAGACTAGAACTCTGCTTCTAAGCCCAGCATTCTACTCTGCAAAGGTTGGCAATTTATGGCCTTTTAAATCTAATGCCCTTCCCAGATGTTCGGGCCAACCACTGACAATATTCCTGCTCATTGGTCATGTTGGCAGGGGCTGATGGGAACTGTAGGACCACTCATTGCCCATTTCTGCTATATGGTACTTTTCCGTGCAAGATCCTATGCTTGTTTACTAATTAGTAAGTAATCTTCACTTACTAATGGATCACTGCCTTGTGGCGAAGGGGCTTGCATAGCTCAATGAAGCTATGAGCTATGCTGTGCAGGGCCACCCAAGACTGTCAGGTCATAGCAGAGAGCTCTGTCAAAAAGTGATCCACTGGAGAAGGAAATGGCAACCCACTCCAATATCCTTGCCATGAAAACCCCATGGACAGTACCAAAAGGCAAAAAGAAATGATGCCGGAAGATGAGCCCCTCAGGTCAGAAGGTGTCCAATGTGCTACCGGGGAAGAGCAGAGGGCTAGTACTAGTAGCTCCAGAAAGAATGAAGGAACTGGGTCAAAGCCGAAAGGACACTCAGTTGCAGATGTACCTGGTAGTGAAAAGAGAGTCCGATGCTGTAAAGTTCTATACTCCATAGGAACCTGGAATCTAAGATCCATGAATCAAGGCAAGCTAGACGTGGTCAAACAAGAGATGACAAGACTGAACATTGACATCTTAGGAATCAGTGAACTAAAATGGACAGGAATGGGTGAATTTAATTCAGATGACCATCAGGTATACTACTGCGGGCAAGAATCCCTCAGAAGAAATGGAGTAGCCTTCATTCATGATGTCTTTATCATCATGGGGGATTGGAATGCTAAAGTAGGAAGCCAAAGATAACCGGAATAACAGGCAAGTTTGGCCTTGGAGTACAAAATG